AGAAAGAAAGAAAGAAAGAAAGAAAGAAAGAAAGAAAGAAAGAAAGACATATAAAAGGAAAGAGAATATGATTTCTAAAATAAAATACATTTCACTTTTTCCTTTAAAAAATTAAGTACAAGGACACTAATTAACTACTACCTCATGGTCAGATACAATCATCAAAGATAGTTGTTGGTGTACTTTTTAAAAACTCTTTTTCCATTTCTTATATCTCTTTCTCTCAACTCCACCCCAATCCCTTCCAACATCCCAACACCAGGTAGGAGAGAGAAATGGTTAGTGGGAGAGGGGGCACAGTTCTGTTAGCTGCTTCCTGCTTTCCTGCTGGTTGGGTCATTGGGTTCCTTGGAGCCAGCCCAATCCTCATTTCAGGAGATCTCCAACTTCTTATCTCACAGCAGCAACCAGGAGCCGCAGGGGGAAAGCAGCGGCAGCCTTGTTCTTTCTTTCTTTCTTTCTTTCTTTCTTTCTTTCTTTCTTTCTTTCTTTTCTTTCTTTCTTTCTCTCTCTTTCTTTTTTCTTTCTTTTTTAAAATTAATTTTTTTGTTAATTAAAATTTATTCACTTTGTATCCCAGCTGTAGCCCCCTCCCTTGTCCCCAATCCCACCCTCTCTCCTTCTTCTCCTCCCATGCCCCTCCCCAAGTCTACTGATAGGTGAGCTCCTCCTCCCCTTCTATCTGACCCTACCCTATCAGCTCTCATCAGGACTGGCTGCATTGTCTTCCTCTGTGACCTGGTAAGGCTGTTTTCCCCCTACCCCCTCAGGGGGAGGTGAACAAAGAGCTGAGTTCATGTCAAAGACAGTCTCTGTTCCCCTTACTAGGGAACCCACTTGGATACTGAGCTGCCATGGACTACATCTGAGCAGGGGTTCTAGGTTATATCCATGTATGGTCCTTGGTTGGAGTATCAGTCTCAGAAGAGCTAAACAGAGAATTCTCAATAGAGGAATATTGACTGGCAGAGAAACACTTAAAAGAAATGCTCAATGTCCTTAGTCATCAGGGAAATGCAAATCAAAACGACCCTGAGATTTCACCTTACACCCATCAGAATAGCTAAGATCAAAAACTCAAGTGACAACACATGCTGGAGAGGATGAGGAGAAAGGGGAACCCTTCTCCACTGCTGGTGGAAATGTAAACTTGTATAACCACTTTGGAAATCAATCTGGCACTTTCTCAGAAAATTAGGAATAAAGCTACCTCAAGATCCAGCTATACCACTCCTAGACATATATCCAAAATATGCTCAAGTACACAATAAGGACATTTGCTCAACCGTGTTCATAGAACCTTTATTACTAATAGCCAGAACCTGGAAACAACCCAGATGTCCCTCAGCTGAGGAATGGATACAGAAATTGTGGTATATTTATACAATGGAATACTACTCAGCAATTAAAAACAAGGAAATCATGAAATCTGCAGGCAAATGGTGGGAACTAGAAAAGATCATCCTAAGTGAGGTATCCCAGAAGCAGAAAGACACACACCGTATATACTCACTTATAAGTGGATATTAGACATATAATATAGGATAAACATACTAAAATCTGTACACCTAAAGAAGGAGGACCCTGGATAAGATGACAAATCCTCACTCAGAAAAGCAAACAGGGCAGATATTGGAAGAGGGAGAAAACAGGGAACAGGACAGGAACTTACCACAGAGGCCTCTGAAAGACTCTACCCAGCAAGGTGTCAAAGCAGATGCTGAGACTCATAGCCAAACTTTGGGCAGAGTGCAGGGAATCTTATGAAAGAAGGAGGAGATAGAAAGACCTGGAGGGGACAGGAGCTCCACAAGGAGAGCAACGGAACCTTCTTTCTTGGAGCTCCTCCTCTACACTCTCCTGGCTCTGGCATTTATTCTCTCTCCAGAGTCCTCAGATTTAAAGCATCTGCAGGTGGCAAAGAGCTCCTGTCAGAGCCCACAGGAGGTGAATAGTCCGCTGTTGCGACCATCTGAATCAGACCCACACCTGCAAAACAAAGACGTGTTCATCTCCACAGCAGGAGTGTGTGCGGCCACGGTGGCTGCAGCCTTACTGAGCGTGTTCTTCCCTCTAAGGCCTCTTCTGCAACAGGACGTGGGACGGCTGGATGTGCTGGGACGACGTCGCGGCGGGGACCGAGTCGATGCAGTACTGCCCCGACTACTTCCAGGATTTCGATCCCTCAGGTGCGCTGGGCTTCGGGTCGGGCCTTGCCGGAATCCGCTTACTGAACGTTGTGTCTATTAGCCGCGGCTGTAACTTTTCACAGAAATCTTTGCAGTATGCGACTGCTCTAATTTTAACTCCTTTACTTCTGCATTCATTTGACCCCAGAAAAAACCTGAACAAAAACTGTAGGCTTCTCAAACGCCCTTAAATTGTTCCTTTTTCCTATTAAAGAGAAGGTCATAAAGATCTGCGACCAGGACGGGAACTGGTTCCGACACCCGGACAGTAACCGAACGTGGACGAACTACACGCTGTGTAACAACAGCACGCACGAGAAAGTGAAGGTAGGAGCCGCCGCGCTGGCCCGCGCTGGCCACACAGGCCGGGGACCGCGGCGCCCACTCGCAGTAAAGCGTTTCCCAACACCATCCGAGAGGAACACGGGGCGAATCCGTGGGCAAGCGGCCGCTAGCTCCGTGTCTACACTGCCAGAACCGTGTCGGGGGGCCGTGGGGTCACAGGCAGCCACCGCTGGCTTTCGGGTTTTCCCAAGAAAATCGTTGCCAGTGGCATCCTAAGGACCTCAAAGCTCCGCCACCCGGGAAGAGCTCGGCGGGCCCTAACCCTCCCCTCACAGCGGTCCCAGAGGCAGGCTCCACGGGGCACTTGGCGTGCTCTCGGTTGCATGATTGGGCGAGAGCTCGCCCTGGTGCCCGACAGGACAGCTGTGCTTCCCCCGGGCCTCCCAGTGGCGTCATCACGCGGTACTGCGGGCTCTCGCTGTACTCAAACATCACCAGCGCTGCGCTGACTCAGAGGTGTTCAAATTACCAAAACACAACCCAACCCACCAAACAAGACCCCGGTAAACGCTATGTTAAAGTACATAGAAAAAGGAAGAAGGAAAGCAAGAATTAAGAGGCGCTACCGGCATTTCCATAGATCAGAGGATCTTTTAAGTTTCCATGTTAAGATCTGTCTCTGAGCTTCAGATTTGTGAAAAGAAATGGAAAAACTCAATAGGTAAAGGAAGCCTTATCCGGCATTTCATTCTGAACGAACCGAATCATTGAGTGTTATTTGATTTTGGATATGAAATGCTGATTTTATGTACAGTATGAGCTAGATCGGTAAATGCATTATGTCAAAGGGTTAAAGTGACTTCTGAGTCCTTAAAAAAGGATACGGGACATGAGTTTTAAAACTCACTTGGTAAATTTGTATAGATGTCCTTCATTTATATATTTTCAAATATTTATTGATTTTTCAAGTAAGTGATTATAACTCTATCAGCATGTTTTTAAAAAAATAAAATTTATTTATTTGAACTTTACCTAACACACATATGGATTTTGGATACAGAATTCATTCTATTTTTTTTTTTTTATCACACAATTATAGACCGCACTGAATTTGTTCTACCTGACTATAATTGGACACGGATTATCTATTGCATCTCTGCTCATCTCTCTCATCATATTTTTTTATTTCAAGTAAGTTCATTTCAATCTTCTTTAATTTGACAAATGTGGTGATCCAGCTTAGGTGCACATTGGGCTCACCCACTGACAAAATATACAAAATATGGATAATAAATTTAGTATTTAAACTGGAATATTTTTACCATACTTTAGCTTTATGAAATTGGCAGGCTATGGATGAAATTTAATTCTAATGTTATAAAATGATTAGGCATATATAAATGAAATGTGTGCTTTGATCGTGTTGGTTTAGAGGGCCTTGTTCTCTTGGTGTCCTCCATCCCTTCTGGCTCTTGTACTGTTTCTGCCTCTTACCCAGGGGTTCCTGAGCCCTGAGGGAGGGATTTGACAGAGACATTCCGTTTATGGCTGAGTGGGTTTTCGTTTTTTGTTTTGTTTTGTTTTGTTTTAGACACAGTTTCTCTGGGTAGCCTTGGGATTCGCTTTGTAGACCAGGCTGTCCCTGAACTCAGAAATGCCTGCCTCTGCCTCGCTGAGTGCTACGGCTGAGTGTTCAAGTTCTCATTCTCTGCATAATGCCTGGCTGTGGGTCTGTATTTGTTCTCATCTGCTGCAGGAGGAAGCTTTTCTGGCAGCTGAGCAAGGCGCTGATGTGAGAATGACAGAATGTCGTTTTATTGCTATCTTGTTCTTTTCTCCCAGTGGTATTTGGTTTCTCCCAGGTTCCTGAGCTCTGTCGTCTCAAGCTCTTAGTTACCTAAGCAGGGTCAGGGATGGGCTGCATCACGTGGAATGAGCTTTGTCTAACCAGATACTGCTTTGTCACTCCCACAATCTTTGCGCCACCGCTGCAGTAGCGTGTCATGCAGGCAAGGACACCACGGCGGAAGGACACCACAGTGGTTGGGTTGGTGTTTGAGCTGCTCTTTTGGTAGCACCTTGGCTGAGCGCTTTCCTGTACCAAAGGTACTGGACGTATTCAGCAATGGGGCCTTGCTGTCTGTTTGTGGAGAGAAACCCATAGTCTTGGCAACAGCCCGGGTCCCCGTGGGATCCCTTTGACCAACCATCCAGTTAGGGGTAACCCAATCCCAGCACTGGAAGCTTTATTTGGTGACAAAAGATGGCTAGAGTTGTCTGTCCCCTCCATCCTTTGGCAATTTGATTTAGATTGCCTTCACATATGCATGCATTTTAGGAAGTTTCTACTGTGTTAGGTTTCCATACTCCCCCTCGAATGGCCCTTAATTTCAGTTGTTTCTCCTTATTTCCTTTCTTCTTTTCTTCTTTCCTCCTTTCCTCACTTGATCCTCTCACTTCAGCCTCCCCATTTTTGCCTGTATCTGTTTATTTTATTTCCCCTTCCTAATGAGATTTACCCCACCAACCCGAGTCTTTTTCTCTATACTTAATCTCTGGGTCTATGGATTATTACTTGGTTATCAGTGACTTAAACAACCAATATCCACATAGCAGTGAACACACACCACATTTGTCTTTCTCAGGCTGGGAAACCTCACTCGGAACGATTTATTTCTAATTCTGTCCACTTACCTGTGAATTTCATGACTTCATTTTTTTCTTTAACAGCTGAGTCATAGTCCATTGTGTAGCTGCACCGCATTGTTTTCATCCACATTCTCTTAAGGGACATCTAGGCTGTTTACAGTCTCTGGCTGCTATCACTTCAGCATCAATTAACATGGTTGAGCAAGTGTCTGTGGGGTAGGATGAAGTGTCTGTCCTTTGGGTGATATAGCTGGATCTTGATGTAAGTTGATTCCCATCTTCTTGAGGAACTGCCATATTGATTTCCATATGGCTGTACTTTTCACATATGTATTTCTATCTATCTATCTATATGCTATGCACCATAGCATGTCTGGTATTCACAGGAGCCAGAAGAGGTATCTCACTATGTAGCCGTTGCAGGCCTGAAACTGCATGTAGTCTACACAAGTTTCAAACCCACTGAGCCCTGTCTCCTCTGGCCTCCCAAATGCTTGGATTAAAGGCATGTGCCAACATACCCAGCTGCTATTCTAATAGTTTATAAATCAGCTTTTGCATCAAGACCTCACTTGCCATTCTCTGCCTAAAAACATTAGAGTGCTTTTTACTGCACCTTATATGAACATGAAAGTATCAATGAATCATGCCTATTATCTTCTGTTCCTCCCTACCCTGGTTAGATGTTTCATATCTGGGAATTATACTTGATTATTTCCTCAGTGGACTCTTCCTGAATTCCTTACTGAAGCTGTAATTAATTACAAATGGACATGGTGTAAAAATTTGAAAGCACTTGAGAGATAACAATCTCTTTAAATTAAAAATCATTCCAGCTGAGACTCTTCAGATTAAACTGTCTCTGTTTTTCATGTAATAAACCAAAACATCTAAGGACACTAAATTTCTAAAGGTGATAAAGTTAATAGCAATTACATTGCATTCCAAATCCAGTAGTAAGACAGAAAACAATGGCCTCCTGGAATTCTAGGCCAGATGCCATCATGCAGGTTTGATTTAGCAAAGATATCAGTAAAGTACCTACCAAGAGAAAAGCAAAATTAATATACTGCTTCCTTATATTAAAAAAAAAATCTAAGAGTTAGTAAACTAAATGCTCACTGGGCTTATGAGGCAAGAGGGACAGCCAAGGCAAACAATACTGAAGCCAAAATGGACCAGGGAAAGTGCAGCATCAGTGTAAGTCTCTAATCAAACTGCTCCTTCATTCAGTTCTCAATGGAGAAAACACTGTCATAATAAATGGGTTATCAAGGAGGTTGAGAAATTAAGGCAAAATATCTATTTTGATTATTTCATAAAGTAGAAGAAACATTAAGTCATAAAGGATTAAGATGTACATCGATAGAAGCATAGCAACTTGAGTTCAAATAATTATAGTTAGAAATAGAGTTTGTGCAGTAATAAAGAGAAGAAAATATGTGGCTTAACTTAAAAACCTCTTAAAAACAAATGCAGTGATCATTTAGTTATCAGTAGACCTCGCTGTCACTCAAAGTAGAAGTCGTACGCTAACCTATCAAGAATGTTGCCGTGCCGGGTGGGAGAAATGACTCAGCCACTGCAGTGCTGTCTGCATAAGCAGTGGATGTGAGTTTGGACCTTCAGCATCCATGCTCCAGCAGGGAGCAAGAAACTGGTGCAACCCCAGTGCTGGGGAGATGGGGAAGGAAGAACTCTGTGGCCCTGCTGGCCAGCCAACGTGGCCAAACTGGCAGGCTCCAGGTTCAAAGGAACGCACTGCTTCAAAAGCAGTTTAGAGAGTGGTTGAGGAAGATGTCCAGTGTCGACCAATGGCCTCCTTGTGTGTGCACCCAGGCTTGTGCATATTTCCACACATGCACAGCATGCGGAGCACAGCCACACACACAAAGGATATTGTAGTCGGTTATTCCTATTTTGGGTCTGTAGCTGACCTGAGGACTTAGAACACTGTTCTTTCAAAGCCCAAGTATCTATGAATGGATTCAAGAGCACAAGCACGGCGGAGCTGGCCACTCCTCTGCTGTGATGTGGTGTTGGCCAGGGAGAGGTGGCTCCCTGCCCCCCTCCCCCCGCCCACCATCTTGCCCCTTGATCCCAGCAGCAGATGGGAAGTTGGCCTCCGGGTCAGGAGAGCAGGACTGTCCCTTCCCTTCACCTGCTACAACACTCTGGAGAGCCGGCCGGGTACCTTGCCTGGGCAGCACAGTGGACTGGCCCTGGGGGTGAGGGCTTGAGCCTGAGTGAGTGGCCTGAGGGTATGAGAGTGGGAGAGCTGGCCCTGCCCCTCGCAGGCGGGGGCACTGGGTGAGCTAGTAGGGGCAAAGCCAGAGATCTTGCCCTGGTTGTGAGCGCGTAGGGAAGCTGGCGGGGTGACCAACTCAGCTACCTCCCCCCTGGACTTAGATCCAGGGCTGTGAGTCGGCCCACCCCAACCCCTGCCCCACCTGTGAACTGTCAGAGTGTGTGGGCAGGCCGGTCCTGCAGATCCAAAGCTGCGGGATCTCATGACACAGGGCAGCAACAGGGTATCTGAGAGGAGTCCAGTGAGGACCCAGCACTGACAGCGCAGCAGAAGCCGGAGGCCTCGAACCACACCAATGACTCAGTGCAGCGAACATTTGAAAGAAAAGACGTGTGGACAAAGGGTGTCCTGTGTGATACACTGTGACACTACATCTTCCATGATGAGATGTTTTTTCTATTTTTTTCTTACTTTTTAAATTTTTCCTCTGTGAGGGGAGTTTGCAAGGGTGGAGGGTGGATTCACAGGGATCCGGGATGAACGGGATTTGGGGTGTATGATGTAAAACTCAAAAAGAATCAGTGAGAAGTTAAAAAAAAATGATATAATGCCACACAATTGAAACCAAATGAGTTTTCTACCAATTTAAGAAATTTGGTTCTTGGCCTCTACAAAAAATATTAAAAGACAATAAATAATTACTTTGCTTATACCTAATGTTTATATCCAAATTATAATGAACTGTTTATTTACTGGACTTTATAAAAGAAAATGTTAAGCATCGGCTTTTTTTTTTTTTTTTTTTTTTTTTTTTTTTTTTTTTTTTTTTTTTTTGAGACAGGGTTTCTCTGTGTAGCCCTGGCTGTCCTGGACTCACTCTGTAGACCAGGCTGGCCAGGAACTTACAGAGATCCGCCTGACTCTGCCTCCCAAGTCCTGGGATTAAAGGTGTGGGCCACCATGCCTGGCTATATTAGCACTTACTAGTAGTGTGCGCTTTGCTGGTTTTTAGTAGCTCAACTTCTCTTTCTAAAGTGAGCCATTGTATTCGAAGTAGACTGTTGTATAACAAACTTTTCCTGGGTGCACGACGAACATCTATCCACCCCAGTTAGGGAGCCCACGACAGAGTGAAATACAGACAGCACCAAAGTTAAACATGGCGAGCCGTGAGTTTTATTGGAGTTACTCACATGAATGTGGGTGAGGAGTTATTGACAGGAGAAATGACTCAGACAGCTGCATCACCAAGGCTCGCGAGCTGGGAGCCTGGAGCGCACTGCCCAGCCTCAGG